TCTCCGTCTATGTGAGATTCGTAAGGGAATTATTCAGATTTCCCTCTGCACAGCTACTAGAAGATACAGGTTGCTCACGTGTCAGGCTCAGTTTGAGCTTGCGCAGTACGCCTGGCTATCAGCTTTAAACGGGCTTCAAATTTCTCTGTTGAAATCACTGGGGTCGCTGTGTCCATTTCCTTTACTGTCTATGATAATATCATCCGCTGGAATTCAAAAACTCAGCGCGAGTAAAGATGGCAGGAGGAGGGCAGCCACAGCAGCGTTTGGGGAGCAAAAAAGGCAAAACCAACTCCATTGTCTGGGAACAGTTTGGCTTCGAGGCTCGAGCAATCCGACGATGAGCAGAAACATGCTATGGGAACTCCACGAATTTGTTTACACACATCGAGTGACCTATGGCAATGTAATAAAGAAACATTTTAAAGCTGGGGCCTGATGGAGAGACAGCCTTTATTATTCTGGGACTGAGTTACTAGCAGGAATTTGTTGAATATATTTTGTCAAAATGTTGCCTACTTGTTTTCAAGAGATTGTGATATATTTATTAGAGGTAGGGATGCACGATATATCGGCCAGCATATCGGTATCGGCCGATATATGTTCATTTTTAATGTTATCGTTATCGGCCTGGTAAGAAAATGTGGCCGATATATTAAAGCCGATAAATAATGTATTATTCCCTTCAGCTGAGACACTTGTTGAGCACTGTTTATGTTTTTGAATTTCTTGAAATATGATTGAAATCTCTTCAAAATACGGTTCGGTACATCATGTGCAGCGCAAATCTGTCATATCGGCTATACACTATAATGAGAACATCATTATAATTGTGCGCTTGGGACATGGATTTAATTGTGAGACTTTTGTATTTGTAATCAGGCTCTCAAAATTAGATACAAATTTGGATTTAAGTTTATCGGCCGATATATCGGTTATCGGCTTTCAAATATAAAGAATTATCGGTTATCGGTATCGGCTGAAATATTCATATCGGTGCATCCCTAATTAGAGGTTATAATTTTTTACTTGAATACTTGAATACATTTATACTTTGATTTGAATATCTGTTATTTTATTTATTTGAATAGTTCAAAAAGTGTTGAATGCCTGAATGCCTGAACTGAATGCCATTCACTGGAAAAAATACAATGTAATGGGGTGGTGATTATTATTGCTGCATAACGCCTACTGAGGCAACGGTATTGCGTAACAGGAAGTTGTGAAACAGGAAGTGAAAAGGGGCTGGGAAGGAAGGGAACCCTCTTCTGGATCTAGAGTTGTGGAAGAGCTGGTCCGACTCGTTCCCAGCCTTGACAAACAGCCAGTTTTAGAAAGCCTGACTGAAACACCCGATTACAGCCAAGCGAAGCACATCTATTGAAACACAGAGAGCGTATAACAGAGGAGCGGCCAACAGAGAGGACAGAAGCGCTGTCACAATATGATAACCTTCACTACAAATATCACAAAACACACATTACACAAAGAATTTCAATTTGGTATACACACAGAGCGCAAATCTCCTCCATTCAAATGATAACTGGTAATATTTGGACAGATTTGTCCAACATTTACTTCTTATCACATTCGGATCACACAAAATGGACAAGATTCAACATAACATCTGTAGTCAAGGCTGATAATTGCAATAAACCATATAAAAACATTTTACATCCAAGTATAAAGTGATTAATTAGACAACAGAATATAGAACTTAGCCTATGCATACTTGAGATGCTTACACTTGACAGTTAAAATGCTTGGCTTGAGCTCATCCATCACATCTGAACTAACTGACAACTCTTTTGTTAATAACTGAAGAGCATCTGTGTGTTGCACACACACGACAGCATTGATGAGATTCACTCTGGTGTCAGACGATTACATCCAAAACCTTCTGATGATATACTGCGAATATCACCATCTCGGAGTTATACACATAGGCGGAAATCGCGGGGGGGTCGGGGGGGTCAGGACCCCCCCTATCTGAGGGTTGTCCCCCCCCAAAAAAACATTAAAATATGTGTATTGTAAATAATGTAATGATATATTCTTAAAATAATTAAGAAATATAATAACACAAATGCAAACGGGGCAATTACGAAAAAAGCGTACTAAACATTTTGAGACCCCCTCCCTTGCCTCACGGTGCGTTGGTCCACCGCCTCCGTCCCTTTTACCTCAGACACACACATTCCGGTGGCGGGAGAGAAAAACATAGTGTTTGAATAGTTGTGGAACTCCAGTAAAGGGGGTCGCACACCGAATGAGAAGCGTAGCGGCGCGTCGCGCAGCGCCACGTCTTTAAAATTCGAACACATTATTCTCTATGAGTGTACACACACCGGCGGCGCCGTTCGGCGTCTGTCCGCGGCGCCCAGCAACGGCTCAGGACCGTGTTCAAAACCCTGCTGCGCCACAGAGCGCCATTTACGTAGTTTTATATACAATTTAAATTATTTTTGTCTCAAATCGGTGCTGACGGATCCTGACTTCGCCCTATGCTGCAATATACATTTAGTTTTGCATTTATTTACAGAAATCAGCTGCTTGAATGACAATTGCTGATGTTATTGGATTTTTCAGGTGAGATTCTCAATTCATTCAGTAAACGGATGCTCTGAGGTAAAGTTTTCAGACCGCAGACTCAGCAACGATTGTATTTAATTGTACATAACAATAATAACAGACACTATCTTCATGTCATTAAACATTACAATATTGCTGGCCATACACTGATGAGAAAGTCCGGGTGCACTGTGCATTTAGATTCTAACGCTTTCACTGTGATTTAGTTGGTTTATATCATTTAATATAGTTAAAGAATGAGTCAATGAATGAAATGAAATCGCTGCGCTGCGCGAGGAGAGTATGTAAACAGATTCGCCGCTGGCTTAAACCAGAAAGAAATTTTAAGAAGTTATAATGAAATGGTCTCCATGCTACACTAATAATAGTAGTAAGGCTTTCCTCTGTATTTTGTTGCCTGTATTATTGGTGTCCCCTTCAAAATTTGCTCTTGAGAATTGTTATGTTTATTGTCCCCCCCAACATTTTGATGAAATTTTCGCCCCTGTATACGTATGTGGTTTTATGTGGTGTATAAACTGTATATTCTGTCCCCTAAACCATATGCCAGAAAACACACACACAAGAAAAGTGTGTGTGAAGAGTGGCTCTCGCATTGTATGATGCGCCACAAACTTGGTCTCAAAATGCAGGTGTGAATCCCAAAAATATGAAGTGTCCAAAACTATTATTTATAACCAAACGGTCCCAAAAAGCTGGTTATGTGACATACCCGGGGGTAGCTTGACAGATAGATAAACAGATCACCTCAACTTTAAGTTACAAAAACTGAGGTAGCTCAAGGCTTGCAAGTATCAACTTAATTTGTAATTGTTTAATGACTCCAGGGCAGGTTATGTTTTAGGCCATGTGTCCACCAAAGGGTTTTTCTCTAAAGGCTAGTGGATTTTTCCAGTTGTTTTCAATGGGAAACGGCATTGAAAACAGGAATTGAAAAATTGACGGCATTGAAAAAACGGCATTTTAAAACACTTTAAAAGGCATTGATATGGGTAACTTTGGGTAAAATGTTATCCCTTATCACTGTCACTTTTCCCCTGGCTGTCCAATCACAGTGGAGGAGGGGCGGGACTAATACCACAGTGACCAACCACCACATCCTGCTGCTCGTACAACAGTAACACATGACAACAACAAGCATAATACAAACATAATACAACAAGCATTTTTATAGAAACAAACTATTTGTGAAATGAGATGCTAGTAACACTTCCGCGGTTGTTCCGTACGCATTATTGAGAACGTCTCAACACGGCCGACGTAGGCATTTCCAGCTGGCTAAAAACGCTGAGGTGGAGAACCAGCCTTAGGGTTAGTTAGTTTACTTCAGAGGTGTTCAGCGTATGTGCCCTAGAGGCTCTGTCAAATACATTCATAACGGTGTGTGTCCACTGGCCCAAAGCAAGTGTTTCAGTTCATTCAAGTTGAGCTTCCATAAAAATGAATTGAAAAAGCTTGCTCTTCTCTGCGCCAGTG